CCTCATGACTAACCCCCATTCCTTGTTTTTCTTTTTGCATTCTTCCTATTTTTTCTTCATTTATTATACTGCTTCCCTACTTTTTTTATTCTTCTTAGTGCCCTATCCCCAGATATTGCAGATTTGCTTGTTTTTTCTTTTTTTTCCCTTTTCTCTTTTCTTGGTTACTGTTCCTGTGTGACTACATGGTATGGTTTTCGTCTATGGGCTTTTAGTGGTTTGACGGTTATTCAATTGTAATTTGTGTCTAACTGAGTGGGAGACAACAACAGTCCTCATAAGGCACAACTACACCCACACCTCCTGTGACTTCACTTACTGAGCGAGAACCAATTCCTCCGGCTCTACCAATGGAACAACAATAAAAAACCAGCAAGAAGAGACTGGACCACCCTTGGCTGCTCTTCATAAACAGTTAACAGAGATCTAAATACAACAACGTCACGATGCCTCGGAAACAACAGACCATCACAGTTCACACAAAGAAGCAGGATAAAGTAGTAGAAACAAAGGAGCAGGATACAGACCCAGAAAACATCCCTGAGGAAGAAGCAGCATTGGAACACTCTGACAAGGAATTCAAAAGAATTATCTTTAAGTAGCTTCAAAGGATTGAGAGACAGACCAAAGAAAACACAGAAAAAAACCTTACAAGAATTTTGGAAGAAAATACAAGAACAAAATGACAAATAAAATGAAAAATTAGAAATTATTCTAAATCTACCGATAGAAATCCAAAAGATTAATACTAAATTATCAGAAATAGATAATGCATCAGAAGGGCAAAGGAGAAGAATTGATGCGATGGAAGACAGAATTAATGAGATGGAAGAAAAATACCTGAAGACTGCTTTGGAAAAGGATCAATCAGAAAGAAAAATCAAAACAAAATGAAGAAAGCCTAAGGTTCATGTGGGATACCATCAAAAGGAATAACTTCCGTGTCACTGGAACTCCAGAAGAGGAGGAGGAAAAAAAAAAAACCACTGAGAAAATTGTCCAAGAATTGCTGGAGGAGAACTTCCCTGAAATGATGAAAGATGAAAATATACCCATCCAGGAAGTCCAATGAACCCCAAACAGGATAGACCCCAAAAGAAAATCACCAAGACACATCAGCATCAAACTCATCAAAACAAAGACAAAGACAGAATCCTGAAAGGCACACAGGAAAAACAAAAAGTTACCTACAAAGGACAGCCAGTAAGAATAAGCTCTGATTTCTCAGCAGAAACCATGCAAG